CTCATTGGGAACTGTGGTCAGTGTCACGATGAGAAGCTAGAATGAAGATGTTGAGGTTCATTCTGGAGACTTGTTGGCTTATTTTTTCATTAATCTACCAAATGCTGTAGCACATTGAGATTTTCTCGTTGTTTTCTTTGTTGGATGGTAAATATTCGAGAGTAGGATAAGTTCGTTTGATATTTTTTCCCAGATTTAAAGAACGTTTCACCCTTGTCGTTGTTGATGTTTTTCGAGGCTTCCGAGGTGAGTTTTGAATGCTAGTTGAGTTTAAAGCTGAGCCATGATTTCAAATCTCTTCTCGGACGCTTGATGCGAGTGTTCGTGTTGGAAACTATTGTTGATTGTTCGTCAAAAGAAACCGAAAGTTCTATGGCGATATTCTTTCTTTGAATTTTCCAGTTGAATAATTTAAGGAATGTGTTCCTCTCCGTTTTTTAGTTGTTTCATGAATCTATCGATTTTTTTATTTGTCGAACTCTTGGAAGGTTGGGTCAGTCGCGTGAGACAGTTTCTTTTGGGTAAAAGCGTGAATAATTTTGTCGGAAATCCAGTCGAATTCCTCGAATGTGAGTTGCGACTGACTCTACAGCTCATTCTTTGAAATGGCGTATCTATTTTGATCTACACAGCCCTCCGTCAAGAGAATCCGAAAGTTCTCTGGCGATATTCTTTCTTTGAATTTTCCAGTACAATAATTTAAGGAATGCGGTTTTCTGAGATTTTTAGTTGCTTCATGAATCCATCGACTTATCATCCGTTAACCTCATGGAAGGTCAGAAACGGGGTGATTTTGCGATTATATGGCGAGCTTCTTGTTTTCTTGTTCGCTGTGAATAATATAAGGAACGCGTTTCTCTCTGGTCTTTTTGCTTTTTCCTGCTGAAATATTGATGATTTTTTTTCGCATTCTATGTTATTTCCAGGTACTTGTTGGCGAACGGGGCAGACCCAAATATTCCCGACGAGGAAGGCAACAGGTTGATACATTGGTGTGCCTTTTACGGTTCCGTCGAAATGCTGGAATCGGCGCTCGAAACCCGTTGCGATATCAACGTTCAGAACAAGAAAGGAGACACTCCGTTGCATCTCGCAGCCAGGTGTATGCATTACGAATGCGTGGACCTTCTGATTAGTCGCGGGGCAAATTTGGACCTTCGGAATTGCAAGGGATCGACCCCTCGGGAAACCGTGGGAAATGATCGGATGTGTTCTTTGTCGGGTTTGTTGGGTCTCACTGAGGTGCTGAGTTCGGATGCTGTGGATTTGCGGAAAGATGAAGATGTTGGAAATGCTTTAGTGAGTGCGGATCATCCCGTGCCTTCGGTTTCTTGCAATGCCGTGCAGATGTGAGTGCAAATTGCTTTTAAAACGTGTCTCTTTTTTTGTTGGTTTTGTGTCTTAACAAATTTACAACGGGTTCTTCCAAGTCTTGCGAGTTGCCGTAAAAATCGTCTCGTAAAAATTGCATCGGCCNTTTTTTTAATGCTGTATGAGTGAGAAAAGTGCAGGAGAATTTTATTGCTGTGCTAATTTTTCTTTTTAACAAGAATGCCCGTGAAGTTGCCAACTTTCCGATCGAATGGAACGCAACGAGAATCGGATATTGATCGGTTTTTGTTTCAACAGATGGAGCTTACCTTGTGGAATGTAGGCCTTCCTGCAATTGCGATCCGATCCTATGCAATAACAAACTTGTACACACCGAGCTCAGAAATAAAGTCCAAGTATTCAAGACGAAATTCAAAGATTGGGGATTGCGTGCTGGTGAGGACATTCGATCTCGAACCTTCGTTTGCCCGTGAGTTCATTTTTCCTCGTCTTTCAACAGTGAGCACTTAATTTTTTTGAATGCTTAGAAGTTCGAGTTTTGTTTTTCAGGTACGCCGGAGAATGCGTGATGAAAGAAGACGCCTTGAAACGATGTGATCTCACGTATACGTTGCAGTTTGCGAACGAGGTACTTAATTTATTTCAAAGAGAGTTTTTCTAATGGAAAACTAACGTGGATTTTTGTGTTCCATTTTAGAAATTTTTGTGGATCGACGCGAAAGAATTCGGCAATGTGGCTAGGTTTATTAATCATTCCTGTGAACCTAATTTGATGGTGATCCCGGTTCTCCGGGGAAGTGGAATGGTGAAATTTGTTGCTGGGCTCTTTGCGTTGAGGGATATCCGAGCCGGAGAAGAGCTTACGTGAGTGGAAGAAAAACTGAATGCAGTGTTTTTCCCCGCATAACGGAACTAATGAGTTTCGTTGTGCCGAATTTTCGTTGCGTGAAACACGGTTTCTCTCAAGATTACATTGTTATTAATTCAATTGGTTCCAACTACTCACTAAAAGAATTTCCCGCTGAAAGAACGAGATAAATCGTGCATTTGTGTATTTTTCGGCAGATAATTGTGAATTGAATATTGTTCAGCGTGAAATTGAAATAATCCTCGAAACTCGTGATCGCAACTTCCGTAATTTCTAATATTTTTCTTTCTCATATCTTCTCCTCTCAGACAAGAATGTGTGAAATTATGCGTTTATTTTCTCTTTTTCTCGATTTTTTAAAAGTTCCTGAGTTTTAGTTAGAAACTCGGTGAAGTTCGCGAAATTGTTAGGGTTCTATTGAAATTATTCTATTAAGCAAGTAAGCAGTAGTCATTAAATGGTTTCTATCTCTGTCTTTAGACATGCTTTTGATTCGTTATGTGAAATAATTTCGTAATGAGAGTAATTTTTTCCACCTAGATAATTTTCGTTGAGCAGATTTTTCGTTATGTGGGGAACTCATTGTATTGTGATTGATAGTTCAGAAATTTATAAGGTCAATACGGCGGTTGATCTTGAAGTTTTCTCATTTTTATCTGCGCCAAATACCAAATACAGTATGAACAGCACAGCAAGCAACAAAGCAGGAATACTGAACATAGAATTATTTTGGGTATATTGATGCTGACTTGTAGGTACTTCGTCTTCTGATTCTCTCGAAACGAAGAACTGTAATGTGTTATTCATCAAGAGCAATCATTAAAAATTTAAGTAAATGAACGTGCGAAACGGAGCCGAACACGTTTTTTGTTTTTCCTTTTTAGGATGGACTACGGCAGCCATGTTCTGGAGCAGCGGGATTTTGAATGTCAATGTGGATCTCGTTCATGTGTATCTCTGAGAGAACTCTTGCCCGACGCGAATGCTTCTTGAAGACGAATTTCGACCTAACGTCGTTACGTTGCTGGGGAAACGTCCGATCAATTCGACTTATTTTCGTTCACGTCCATGCGTTTGGTGCTGGATTCTGATCAGTTTTATCTGCTCTCTTCTGTTTTTTTTGAATTTCTGTAAATTATCTGAAATGTTTTCGGAAAGCGATGGTCAGTCGTCAGGTTTTATTGCGCAGGAGATGATTTTGAGTAATTTTAGTCATGAACGAATGTCGCGATGAGTCTTTGGGTTAAGGATTCTCCATATAGGTAATTCATTAAATGGTTCCTAGCTCTGTCTTCGGACATGCCTATGAATAATAAACCTTACCCCAAGGTTAAAGTCGTCTTTAGCTAAGCCCTTGATTCTCAGAATTCATTAACCCCTATATTTTTACGCGAAATATTTTTGCTATTGATCCACATTTATGCTTTGAAGAATCTCAGAACGTTCGACTTCCGAATTATTCAACAAAAATGTCTGACCTTGATTCCTGTAATGGGGCATACCTGGCGGATGATCGCAAAATTTATCAGTATTCCTCGCTCTGTAATTGCTTTTTTTATTATGGTCATCGTTGTTCGTTGCGCTTGGTTTGAGTTTAAAATCGTTTAATTCGTCGACGAAGCAAAAACATGTTCGTAATTTTAATTCTGGCGCTTTCGTATTACATTAATATTTCATTTATCTAACTCCTGCTTTGATTATTTGTAACGGGTCGTTCAATTTTTTTTCAATGCCGCATTTTGGTTAAACTTTTCATCTTTGCTGCGTTTTTTTGTACCGATTCGTTTTAAATAGAAATGTTTTCAGGCAAATTTCGTCATTTTTGGAATTGTTTGTTTGTTTTTGCTGGAGGTGATCGATATTTTATTCATGTTATGCCACTCGTGTGTAGGTTTCTTTTTTTGTTGAAAAACTGGGGAAGTTCGGAATGCAGGCTGTGAAAAATCTGTGAATTTTCCGGTAGCTGCTCTTAATCAGTGGTGAGTCGCGATCGTGCGGTTTATGTTTGAATTTGCGGCTTCGGGAATTGCTTAAATTTTGGAAAAGAGGTTTTTAGTGTTTTTTTTTTTTATTCACAGGGTTGTTGAGGCCATGGCAGCAGGCGGCGCTCTGAAAGTGTCTTTGTGGATATGTATTCTGCTGTTTCTGAAGATTGATCCTCTGGAAGCGGAAAAATCATTGCGTTCTGATGGTCCAGGCGCACCTTCTGTGGTGCAACCTGTTGCACAGCCAGTGAGTCTTTGATCCAAATTAAATGTAAACCTTCCTTTGGAGACTGTTAGGGTTTCGATTCCTGCAATTACTATTAAAAACCTCCCTTGCTCGAAGGCTTTCCCCCTCAAACCTCCTTAACTCAAATTTTCTGGAGGCCCTTTTGTGGCTATTTATTTTCCATTGATGCAAGAAAGAGAAAAAACACTAAAAAATGCAAATCAGTGTGTTTTGAAAGGAAGTGAAAGACTAATGGTTCAAATGAACCATCACCTCAGTTAAGAACACTTTAAGGCCCTGAATATCACCGATCAAATTTTCCCCAACAAAAATTCTCGTTTCCCCAACTTAACTTTTTTGCCTGGTCCCTTGAAAAGATGTTCCAATGTAACTAAACCTGCATTTACTTTCTGGGAAGATTATTCTATGCATGGATAAAGACAGAAATTTACGGATGACAGTATTGTCTCGTCATTTTTGAGCAAACCTGAATCTGTTCGTTCATAAATTAAGAGAGAAGGCAGCAGGAAAATGTTTTTAGCTTCGTCTGGTGATGTTGAAGCGAGGAAGAATGGCGTTTTATTTGAGTTTTCAGCTTTTTTCAAGTGTTTCTTTGTATCGTGAATAAAGTAAATGTCCTTCTCCTTTTTTTCTGTTATGAAGGCTTTGGCGAACGTGACGGCGAATCATTCATCGTCAGTCAAGCATGCGACGAACAAAGGCTTTATGCACGCTTTCGTGGCTGCCCTGAGTATAGTAGTGGTGTCTGAAATCGGTGACAAGACGTTCTTCATCGCAGCCATCATGGCTATGCGTCATCCGAGGTCCACTGTTTTTCTCGGTGCCATGTCTGCCTTGTTCCTGATGACAGTTTTATCAGGCGAGTCCTGTTTCCTAATCTGGTGACTGTAAATACAGTGCGACCCCCAGATGCGGACATAATTGGTGTGTCAAGAGTGTCCCTAAGTTGAAGTGTCCCTGAGTCAAGTCTTGTTTTCCCATAGACTTACATTGTATACAATAATTTTTAATTGATGTTTTATGGTACAAATATTCTCAAGAATCCCATGAAAAAAAAATTTTGCCACTTGAATTTGATTGTGATTATTTTTCAACCCAATAGGAACATTTGCAGCATTGAAGATTATACTGCTATACAGTTCATTGAAATGTTGGCATCTGTAAAATTAACATCCAAGTCACAAAGAGAGAAGGAAGTCCCACTGTGCTATAGGTAATTTTTTCATCAGCTGAATTGATGGGAAAGTGATGAGAAAAGTACCAAAGAATTTTTCTTGCATAGATCTTAGGGTCTATATGTTTCTTGCAATCAAGCTTAATAAAATTCAATTTTCCTAAAATTTATTGGCAATTTCATCATCCAATATACTCATGTCAAGTCAGTGTCCATATGTTGGGCCTTTTTATGATTTTTTAAATTTAAAACAGTGAGACCCCGACATGCGGACTTTTTGACATGGGGACAATTTGACATAGGGACACTTGAAAACCCAAAAAGTCAGGCCTGACATCTGGACATTGGCTCAAGTTAGGGACACTTTTCTGAAATTTTCCCCAAAATTTAAACATGTAATTTTTATATCTTTCAATGAAATCGAAGCTAATGCATTTATATTCACAAAAATATGTCAAGTAAATCCACTCTAATTCATGATCAAAAGCAAGCTGATTTTGTGCTTTTTTCATAGTTTTTTTCTATCTGTGCATATTCTAGCAAGACTTGTCCTTTTTCCTTGCCTTTTGATCTCCATTTGATACCAAAACATCAGATTCTATGTGGTTGTTCTGCACTGTTGTTTTCTACAACTTGAAGTTGAGGGAAACCATTTTTATTAAATTTTTTGAGGACTTATTTCTAATTTTTGACAAAAAGGAGAACCAATTAAATGCATTGGCATTGAAGTCTGAGGGAAAATGAGACTCAACTTAAGGACATTCCAACAGAAGGACACTCCTGATGCACCAATTATGTCCGCATCTTGGGGTTTCACCAAGTATTTTTCTATAGGTTGAACCTCTTTTCAATTTTTCAAAATATGTATATACAGTAGTATTATCTCTGTTCGAAACTTTCGACGGGTGGTTTTGATGTTTTTTTTTTAAATCCTACTGTAATAAAACAAGGTAAGCGAGATCCAGACTCCATGAATTTGCCCTTGTGTGTTGTGATTTTCTGACGTCAAGTGTGTGTCCATGAGACAGTTTCGTGGAATTCCCGCAATTTATACTAAATCCCAGAAGTTTCTGGCATCGACATTGGGCGAGTCTCAAGAATTTTTGAAGGATATCCTCTGAAAAAATCTGCTCGAATTTACCATAAATTGTTATTAGTCGACTTGAGGACGTGACCCCGCATATGTGAATGATATTTTCAAATGTTTGAAAGTCAGTTTTGAAATGGGTGAGTGTTGCTGACACGAATGTGGGATGCGGTTTTGTGAGATTTTCCCCAACTCTGAACTCGAGGTTTTGATCGAGGCTAATCAGTGGTTTTTCGAACTAAGTTTTACTCATGGAAATGGGTCAAAAATATTTTTGATACTAATGCATATGTTTCGTTTGTTTTTTCTACAGCCGCTCTGGGTTATGCAGTCACAGTGATTCCCAAAAAATACACCTTATATATTTCTTCGGGCTTGTTCGCGATTTTCGGAATCAAGATGTTAGTGGAAGGAATGAAGATGAAGCCCGGAGAAGGCCAGGAGGAATTGGAAGAAGTGCAGTCGGATTTGCGACGACGGGAAGAAGTGCGTTTCAAAGGCCTTTTTTGGCCAAGAACTTTCTTCAAAATGAATGATCCGTAGCCCCTTTTTTAAAATTTTGAGTCAATTTATGGTGTCTGAAGACTTTTTCGAAAGTTTTTGAGTCAGCCAAAAGCCATGAGTTACGTTTGTATCATTTTATTGATTTTCTTTTGTATTGTGGGATATTCAAAACTTGAAGGCAGGAACGGATTTTGAAATTTTTTTTCTTGATTAAGATATTGAAAATCATTTCTGCTGTAAATCGAATTCGAAGAGTATTGAGAATCTTGGAAGAAGAAGGTTTTTCCTCATCTGATTTTTGGTGATTTCAGGCTGAGAAGAGCCCGGATTTGTTGGAGGCACCTACAGTTTCATCCCGAAGTCAACGATTTATCAAGATGACAGTCAGTGTTTGGAAATCTATAGCACGAGTGTTTTTGCAAGCTTTCACCATGACCTTTCTGGCTGAGTGGGGAGACAGGTCGCAGATCTCAACAATCGTCCTGGCTGCCACAGAGGTTTCGAATAATCTTTAATTTGTATACAAGTCTTTAGTTGAGAATTTAATATCCAATTTCTGCGTCTCAAGTCAATCCTAGATTTTTCGGTAATTTTATTCTTATTTTTCAGAATGTATGGGGTGTCACGCTGGGAGGCACAGTTGGACATTCATTATGCACCGGTGTTGCTGTGATTGGTGGGAGAATCGTGGCTCAGAGGATATCTGTCAAAACCGGTGAGTGAAATTTTTTGTGCATTATAATATTTATACGCAAGAATTGATTATCTGAATTTTAATAATAATTATCTTAATTTTTCTACTGTGCCGAAATTTTGATTCCGCAAAGTGACCTGTTATTTAATCGCGAGCCGATATATTCTCCTGTGATCAAGTATTTTTATCTGGGCGAATGTAATCAATGCCCTTCAGGTCATTTTTTACTTTTTTTTGTGTTGAATCTTGAATGAGGAATAATTTTTAGATGATTTATTATGTTGAATAATCCATTTTACTGGCACTGCAGTAAGGACCCAGTACTCTGTGGCTGTACAGGGTGGGCCAAAAAAAATTGAACCGATTTTTGACTTGGTATAGCTTGGTAGCAAATTGAGCTTTGACAATGAAAAAAGCCTCAAATGAAAGCTTGTGCAATTCTCTTTCAAATGGTATTTAGTTTTATGGTCCCAAGTGCCAAAGAATGGTCACAAGAACTGTTTAAATGAAGCTGCTGTTCTGGAGAGCTGTTTGCATGAATGAAGAAAATTCAGGATGCAATGATTTAACCAGCAAATTTCATGCTGTCTTGCAGAGCCTGCACATGTTCCCAAAATTCAGAAGGAGGGGGTGAAAAGGGGAAGGAAAATGGCGAGATAGGGTGCTGCTGGCCTCGCGGCTCCCAGTGGCCCACTGCATGCACATTTTTTTCTTTCTAAATGAGATTTATTTTGAATTTTTGTGAATAGAAATGGCTTGATTTTTTTTTTCTCAAGAGATGTCAAAATTTTGAGAAAAAAATGTTTTCCATTCATCTAGAAATGTTGGCGTAGTGACTTTTTTTCGAAATATTGTCCGGATGTCGGGGCAGATTTTTTCAAGTTTGAGAAGTCCCTGAGTCAAATTTTTTAGTTTGACAAGGCCCCACTGTTGTTTTTTTAATCGGCGTTTTCGTATTTGCTTAAGTGTTGGAGAAAATTGAATGTGATTTTTGTTTTCTAGTTACCTTGATTGGTGGAGTGGTGTTCCTGTTGTTTGCTGTCTCCTCGCTGTTTGTTGGAGCGTAAGCCTGAAGGTGATCAAACCCATGGTGCTGTTCTGAAAAAGAAGAAAAGCACTA